GTCCTGGTGTGCCTGCCTGGAGGGATGTCCACGCACTGCTAATGTTGCTGGAGAAGCTGGCAAAGATAGTTGGAGGTATGGAAAATCTGCTGTGCAAGGAGGGTTTGGAAGACACAGGATTGAGGCTGGAAGAGCAACCAGTGGGGATAGGAGGGTGTTGGGAGAGGTGGCAAGATCATGAAGGATGTGCAGAAGTGCAGGCAGATGGGCTTTGCTGGTGCGAAGCAGAACGAGGAGGGTTTGACTCCACACAGTGCGCAGTTGCAGGTTGCATGGCCTTGGGCTGTCTGGGAAATGCGGGTGGTTTCAAGAAGCAATTAAACAAATGTGCAGAGGATGGGCATTGGTGCAGCTGCTTATACAGTTTTTTGGACACTGCGTGCATTTACGGGAAGAGGAACACATCATACTTCGGTCCGTACTTAATGTGGTTTCTCTGTGCATCTGCTGTCGGTCACTCACTATAGGAGACAGGTAAGGGCTTGACAGACTTTTTGTTTAGCAAGGGGGAGACTCTGTTGTTAGCAGTTTTAGGGTTAATCTGCTTTGGGGAAATCAGGATTGTCTGGTGTTCTCTGCCAGGGCACTGCTGGCTGCAGCTCCATGGGGACACAGTAGCATCTGAACCATCCCTGCTTGGATGGCTCCAAGTTCAGCGAGACACTCGGACAATAAAGGTTAAGTATAAGAGTGTGTGGACAGAATATAATTCCATGACTGTCTTGAAGATACTACATTACTCACTTGTTCTCTGCACAGGATTAATTTACCCCCAGAGGACTTGTTTTGCGGGCTTAGCCTGCCTGCTGGCCAGCACTACACCCCACAGCCACGTCAGACTTTAGGTTTCAGGAAGACAGCACTATTTGTTTAAATATTTTTATAGGTTTGGGACAGTTGGGTTTACTTGTCCTTTCTTAGTACTACTCATAGCTGACACTGAGCTTTGTGTGGATGGTAAGTTTCCATCACCTCTAAAAGAGCACCTTTGTACTAACTGCTGTGATACATAAGCTCACCCAAGTGACTTACCTAGAGGTGTGGAAAGAGAACACTGCTTGTGAGCTATCCTACCTGGCCTGGAAGAGCAGATGCCTTCCTGCTCCACAGAAAAGGTTCAGTGGCAGAATGCTTGAGAGTGACCTCCTGTTATGACACTACTTGTGCATATAAAATAAAATCATCATGTGAAATAGTAGTAATAATTAAACTCATCTGCAGCAAATCCAGGGTGGAAAAGAGGTACCTTGAAATGTTATGTCTCTGCTAAAACATACTTGCTTGCACAACCTACTTTGCCAGCCTACAAATCAAAGCAAAATAACTGTTCACGTTGCAACAGCATGCACAGTCATCGAAGGCAGGGACTGTGTTATGCTGAGTGCTGAAGATGAGTTCTACAGGTTCCCTTGCATGGCCTGAGGAGGAGAGGAGGTGTTGTGACTTGTTCGGCATCCTCTGCTGTGTGGTATCAGGAGAAGTGTCCCAGCAGGAACTTGCAATGACCTGTAAGATTGTTCCACTGTGATGAACCTGCCACTCCTAGATTAGCCTAGCCATGGCAAACAAAAGCCAAGGGTACTGAGATGTGCCCGTTATCACTTACATTTGGAAAACCCTCAGGAGAGGCTTCTGAAGTTGAAAGCATGGCAGAGCCCCACAGGACCTTGGTTCTGCAGGGTGGTGGGACAGCCAGGGCATCTCCTGTGGTGTGGAGCCTCTCTCCTGCATGTGCAGATGATCTTGGTTAAGTTTCCTGGAAGCCAGGCCCTTATCCTGTGTAAGGAATTATAGTGTGAATAAAGTCAGGTTGGGGGCTGCATGAGGCATGATTGGAGGGAGCTATCTGAGGGTTTAGTACTAAGCTGATGCTGGATAACTCTTGTTTGGTGTATCTCTTGATTTGGAAAACATTGCTATCTAAGTGTGGTGTGCCTGCAGAGCCTCTGACAGCATGAAGGTTGACACAGCAGTGTCACCCTTTTACCAGGTGGCTTTTGCCATCTACTGCCTTGACATGGCTCTGTCTGTTCCCGAGGGCAGCAGGCAGACACCGAGCATGCTGGCCCACCGGGGTCTCCATCTGCAAAGGACACAGGGGAAAGGCAGGGGTGGGAGTGTCTTGCAGAGATCACAGCAGAAGAGGAATTGTGGAGAGGGACTTGAGGGTGTTGGGTGACGAGAAGCTCCCCATAACCCGTCAGTGTGTGCTTGAGCCCAGAACCCCTCTGTGTGCTGGGCTGCATCCCCAGAAAGTGAGCAGCAGGCGAAGGGAGGGGATTCTCCCCCTCTGCTGTGCTCTGGTGAGACCCCACTTGAAGTACTGGTGCAGTTCTGGTGTCCCCAACATAAGAAGGACCAGGTTGGACAGGGTCTTGAACAACCTGGTCTAGTGGAAGGTGTCCCTGCCTGTGGCAGGGAATTGAAACTGAATGATCTTAAGGTCCTTTCTAACCCAAACCATTCTGTGATTCTATGATTCTAACTTCTCTCAGAAGAGAGCACAGCGATGTCCTGCATCCCCTCCTGAGAGCCCTGCCCGTGTTCCAGACTGCTGTACCTCTGCATCTGAAACCATACTCACCAAGAAGATTCAGCATGCCTTTCTAGTGCTAGCTTCTCAAGCAAATCTAAAGTGAGATGGTCTGTCAAGGCAGGGGAAATTACTTCAGTAAAGGCTAGAATTACTTGTTCCTCTCCAACATTTTTGTTGTTTAAGAACTAGAGGTAGAACAATGTTTGCTATTAATTTTAGGGTGCTCTGTAAGAAATCAATTTATGTTCTTTAATAGAGTTGAAAGAAAATAGAAATAGCATCAGGGTGCTTTAATAATTTAGTATTTAATCCTGTGAAGGGTAGCATTTGTATTTTAGCTTATGTGATATTGTACTGACTCAGAGTTCCTGCAAAAGCAAGCTACTTCTTGAATTGTATAATGCTGTGAAATCTCCCTTTCTCTTGCTGCATTTCCTTGGTAGAGTGAAGCTGTAAAGTCTAAGCCACATTTGTCTATTTTTTTGAAGACCTGTGGGTTGAGATATGTGTTATAAAGCAACTTTTCATACAAGTCACTTGCTCTAAAAAAGCCATTGTATTTGAGGAAGAGTGCACAAATTGCCCAAGAATGGGTACTAAAATATTTCCCTAGGAAAAGTTAGCTTTTTCTTTCATTTTCTGTGTTCATTGTGTAATGCATCAGCTTAACACAGTGGGATTTTCCATTCACTATTACGGGTGTATCCACTGCTCAGAGCCTTCTCCATGGAGAAGGTTGTCAGTCTGGTGGAAGTATAAAGCAGGCAGCCTGCAAAACAGTTCCTCCTTTAGCTGAGAGTGGGTTTCACACGGAGAAGGAAGATGCTCATTCTGAGTGGGCATTTAAGAGTTTAAAAGGCTTATGTGGTGCTAATGTGTTTGCTGCTCACCCTTCCATGTCTGCGTAACAGCTTTTTGGGGACTGCCGGGCTCATCTGAAGAAATACTTGCTCATTCCCAGAATTGCAAAGTTCTTCCACAATAGTGGTTTGATTTCTTTTATTTTTCCATATTTTTTGCAGGTGTTTTTTGAACTCTCCAGTGCCTCACAGAGCCGTTGTGTTTCGGAACGTCCTGCCTAAATCCTCGGAAGAAAATCTGCTAACAGCCAAAAATGACTTGAGGTGGAGAGCTGCTGCTTTATCTACAGGTAGTGTGTTGGTAGCTCAGTAACTTCTCAATACCAGAGCTTAACACTGCTTACTTTCAGGAGGTTGCTGGAGGAGGGAGTTGTTACTACTGCCTCTCTAGGATGGGTAGTAATCTGCATGTGTTTATCTCCTGAAAACACCCATGTCCCTGTACCGCTCCCATGTGTTTTGGGTGCATCCCAGAGCAGCCATGTAGGAAAATGAGCATCTGCTCTCCTATGTTCTGTGGTTTCATGCTCTGCTCACAAGTTGTTTATGCCTCAGCCGATGTTCCCTATACCAGCCCTTGTGCTGCCCAGGTTTAAGCTGCCATTTGGGCACTCCTCCTGTGGAATTTCTCCCTTTTATAACATGATGGGAGCTGGAGATGTCCACTAGTATGAGGTAGCACAAAAGAGGACAGGCAGTTCTGTAAAACAGGGTTTGGCTTTGCTTTCTCCAGGGATGACATGCCTTGAGTAATATCTATCAAAGTGCATTTATGAACCCGAATATGCCTCAAACACTACTGTGGATTAATGGGCTCCCAGCAGCTGTTTAGGGAGGTTTCATGTTGGGAGTGCACTCACACCACTGCAGACTTGCAGGAGTTTCCTGGAAAGTCACCATGTGTGTCAGTACCAGGCTAGTGAAGCTCCTGGTGTTCATGAAATCACAGCTTTTGGGTTTTTTCCTCACAGTTATATGCCTCATTATATGCTTCAGTAGTGTTCATGACTATGGTCAAGTAGGAGCTTAGTTCTGGGTATGCTAGTGGTGGGATCTGGATATCGGTTGGCTGGGATGGGAGATGAAAGGAAGGCAAAGTGGAGACTTACCCTGCAGCTGATACGGTACTGGTAAGGTTAAACTCAACTGTCACTTGCGGAAGGGAATAGGAAAAAGGTCTGAGTGGCAGTAGCCTCAGACCACTGTTAGCATCTGAGGGTAGTAGGCAGCTCAAGTCTTTCTGCTCAGTGTTTGTGGTGGTGGACTTCGAAATGAGATCTTTAAACAGCCTGAAATTGTAAAATTACCCCTATGTGCTCTTCCTCTCCTTCCGTTGCCCACATACTGATGTTTATAACTTTCATATATATATATATATATTCAAGTCCAGATTGGATGGGGCTTGGAGCAACCTGGTCTTGTGGAAGGTGCCGCTGTTCATGGCAGAGGGGCTGGAACTGGATGGTCTTCAAAGTGCCTTCCAGTCCAAACATTCTGTGGTATGTGTGTGCCTGTGCACGAAACCCTGACTGAGATGTTTTCTTCTCTCCCAGGACCAGCTTCCTGCCCTCTGTTCAGTGTCCCATTTGGATGTACCATACACTATGGTTCACATCAATATGTTAAAAAAATTAATGTGTGTTCTTGTGGTGATACTGGTAGCGCTGACAATTTGCCTGTGGAGAGAGACGAGAAGAAGCTACTATGGTCCTTTCAAGACTGACATTGATGACTTACAGACTTCAGAAAAGTGGAACCCACTTAAATCACAGGGCCTTTTTCGTGAAGCAGCCAGTGAACTGAGGGAGATACCCAAAATCTGGTTTGGTAATCACAACAAAGTAAAAGGCAGCACCTTGGGAACATATGAGAAGTCCAAGAAAATATCAGACTCTATGAAGGTATGGGATAAGGACAGTTCATCCAGGAATCTCATACCCAGGCTGCAGAAGGTCAGAAAAAACTACCTGTCCATGAACAAGTACAACGTGACTTACAAGAGGAAGAGGAATGCTGCTAAACTCAGCCCAGAGAAGCTGCTCTGCCAGCTACGGGACAGGGTGAACATCACCATGATACAGGGATCGGACAGTCCTTTTGATACCTCTGAATGGCAGCAATACCTACCAGGGAAAAGCCTCAATGAAACAGTGGGCCACCTGGGTCACTGTGCTGTCGTGTCCTCAGCAGGGTCTCTGCGATCATCTCATCTGGGACAAGAGATAGGTTGGTATCTTTCTATTAACATAAAGTCAAATTACATATTTTATAACTAATGCTGAAGAGAAGCAACCTACTGTCATGCTCTTACCAGTAAGTTTGGTGTGGTTTGTTTAAAGTAAGTTGAAATATTATCCTTAAACTTGTTCTAAAGTTAGTGAATGTTACAGCCTAGGAGGAGATGGGAGTAATGATCAGATTCTCCCTTCCTGAGTGTATAGGCTGCATTATGATGGCCTGGGTCACGGTGCCTGGGAGCCTTAGACTTTGGGCAGGCTAAAATGGGCAAGCCCCAAAGGAGTGTGAGGGTTGAGTTCAGCTAAGAGGACACGACACATGTGCAGGTAGTTCTATTCCAGCTAGTCCTTTCAATGTTCATGACCAAGTTGGCATTGCTAGAGGGTAGCACTAATACTGGTTACCAGAGAGAGGTCTTGGTTCCTCAAGTGTTCATTTCTTGAGAGAGTTTGGGTGGGTTAAGTAATGCCAATGCACTCATTGCATAGTCAACAGTCAGAAAATTTTTTATTCGAAAAGACTTCTTCAGAGAAGAAGTAAAAGAAAACACTAAATTAGGGTAAAAAAACCCTGGACACAGCCCTGAGCAATCTGCTGCAGTTGACCCAGCGCTGAGCAGAGGGGCTGGGCACAGGCAGCCTTCAGAGGTCCATTTCAATTGCAGCAATGCTGTGATTCTTGCGGCTTTCATTCTGAACCATGAGGCAGTGTCTTGAGCTTGAGCAGCCCAGAAGACATGGCAAAACTTTTGCAGGGCTTTGTTTTATCTCTTCTTTAGACAAAGCTCAGTGATGCTTTGCAAAGTCTTGCTTGACCATATTTATCTGAGGTTAAAGCATTAATTAATAAATGCTGAAGTGTGGGTCTTGTACTGTATGCTTTGATACCAAAGCATTTTGTGTCTTTAAGAAAGCAGCATGCAGGGGAAACCAGCTTTTAACTCTGGGGTTTGTGCCTGGCAGAAAATTCTCCTGTGCCTGCATTTCCCTCAGCTTTCTTCACTAATTGTTGTTTGAGGCTCAGTTAAGATTCACACTTTGCTAAACTGCAGCTTCAAAGAAGTTTCTCTCTGGTGGAAATTGTTAGCAGACATCAGCGTGTTCCTAAGTTGTCTGTTGGATCAGGTCCCTTTGGCCTGCACTAAGCTACAAGTAACCTTCGTCCTCTGAAACAAGTAGATGGATGGCTTTTAATACATTATTTGTGGACAGCTTGGGTAAAGCCTTCAGAATCATAGTCCCAGGATCCTTACGGGAGGGTCAGGGTTTTGTTCTGGTACTTTCTCGGAAGATCTCCTCCAATCTCCTCTTTGCTTAGAATGAGGATGAACTGCCCGAAGGGTGTTAAAATGCCATGAAAGATGTGATGAAAAGGACTGTGGTGGTATGAACCAGGATAGCATTGCATCCTGGTAAAAATTGCATATGGGATGTGATTACTTCCACCTCTTGGGAGTGTTTGAGGTCAGGTGGGTCAAGGCTTGGGCCTTTTTCTTTGTGTACCTTTGGCTTGTTTAGGTGCTTCTTGAAGTTCTGTAGCTAAAGATTTCTATGGTGGTGACCTTCTGTTGAATGTGCTCCCCTGAAACAGCTGGCTTGTGTCGGTGTCTGTGTTAGACCCCATCATACTGATACAGCTGCTTGCTCCTCTGTAAAGAGACCCTCTCAAGGTGGTGTTTATGGACTGTGTTTATGGACTGTGGTAACGCAGCCCACGCAAGTGCTGGATTCAGAATCGGAGCAGTCAGGAGATGCAATGGGCTGTGCTCTGGCTGTGACACAGCTGGAAGGACTTCAGGCATGGAAAGCCATTTCATTGTTCCTACAGCCTGTCTCTAAGCCTGTCCCCGAAACTGAAGCACCAGTTTGTTCCAGATCACAAGGGATGGATGCTGGTAAGGTCACTGTTGTGATGTGCCCAAGGCAAATGCTGTTAACCCCTGCTGGTGTCAGTGGCTTGTGTTCCTCATGCCTTGGTGCAGACTTCAACCTTTCTGCTCAAGCAGTTATCTCTGCTAGTGATTCTGCACAGTTTTGGGCACTTGCAAACTTGAGCTGAATATTGAACACTTCAGGAGAATTCAGTGTCTTTATGTACCTTTAACCCTAGTTTTGATGTGACATATTTCCATGTAGGAAAGTGGTGGTTTCCTGGAGGAAGGTGCCAAAAAGGTACTAAATCTGGCAAGTTTACAGTGAAACACTTGTGCAGATGAGTGCAGCAGATTGCTGAATTGTTATTCCAGGGAATACTTGTTCTGTGTAATCACATCAAATGAGCAATTAGTCAGTGAAAGGGAGGCTGGCAGAGCAGAATGGGGAGAAGTTTGTGAACAGCAGCTCATATCTTACTGGGCTCTTGGTGTTATTGGAGTTTATGAATTACCAGTGAAAAATGTGATAGGAGAAATAGTAAGTGCACCACAACCACCTGGAGACAAAGTGCTTCAAAAAGCCAGAAACTCTGCCTGAGCAGTCATTAAACACCCTTTTAAAATGCACACTTAGGGCATAGTAACACTTGGTGTGTGGCAGAAGTTAAATGGGGAAATTATAACCCTGTACTCTATGGGTGCAAGGTAGGATGTGGAATTAAGGGTCTGTACTGGTAACTACAGAGCTGCTTCTCAGCATGGACATGTTTTTTTCAGAAACATCACCTTTGCAGGTTTTGTGTTGATTTGGAAGGCTTCTAAACAAAATCTACTTGCATATGAGAATAAAGGAGCTGAGAAACTAGTCTTTGCTGCCAATGATTACTGATCCTCCAGCATTGCACCTGAGCATAGCCATGTGTTCGAGACAAAGATCTTGGAAAGACCCAGTTACAAGGGCCTGTAGGGACAAGAAAAGGGGGAATGGCTTTAAACTGGCAGAGGGGTGATTTAGATTAGATATTATGTAAACGTTCTTCCCTGAGAGGGTGCTGAGGCGCTGACACAGGGTGTTCAGAGAAGCTGTGGCTGCCCCATCCCTGGCAGTGTTCAAGGCCATCTTGGACAAAGGGGCTTGGAGCAACCTGCTCTAGTGGAAGGTGTCCCTGCCCATGGCAGGGGGTTGGAACTGGATGAGCTTTAAGGTCCCTTCAAACTCAAACCATTCTGTGAATCTCTGATTCTGGACCAGGTGAACCCTTCTACCCTGGCTGGGAAGCCCACAATTCTCCAAGGACCCCGGGGGCAGCTGACATGAGCTGCAGTTGTGTGGCCCCAGTGCAAAGGCAGGAAAGTTGGTCCAGCTCCACTAACTCAATGCTTCTAACCACATGAAATGTTTTCTATCTAAATCTAGCCAGTAGGTATGGAGAAGCCAGGGTGACAGGCATGAACACCCTCTGTAGTGCAGCAGCAGCCTTGCTCTGTGGCATTACGACAGCCTGGCTGGCTGTGCCAAGGCAGAGGAGGGTGCTGGAGGAATGCTGGGCTATCTTGAGAGATGATGCCAGCAGAGGAAAATGCGGTGAATCCCGAGGCATGTAACAAGCTGTGCCTGTTAAATGCACAGCGGTGGTTTTATTTCTGTAATGTGGGAGGCTGAAGTCAGCTTTGCTTTCCACTGTGGTTACTATACATGTGTCTCAGGGTGGTCAACCTCCAGGCTACAAGAGAGGACGCTGGTTCACTGTTATTTCCCAGTTCCTTAGTTTGCAGCCAGCCACGTGGTAAATTAATTATACATTGGTCTATCTGCTGGTAAAGTGTTTGGAAGGATAAAGAGGGAGGGAGATGCTGTGTTCCTCTGTGCAGAGTGAATGTTAGAGCTGCTCTCTCAGCGTGCCAGTGAATTGTGGTTTAAAGAAGTGGGGTTTTAAAAGTGTGCTGATCATGAAGTTAGACTAACAACTTCTTCCACAGAATCTGACTTGGTACTTCTAGTTGTTACGTGGAAAGCCAGGGACTGGCCAGATTGTATTAGAAATACATGTGAATAACCTATTGCACATCTCTTCTATCACTCAAAACCCAGCTCACAGGTTTTCACTCTGGTTTGCTTCCAGACAGCCATGATGCCATCTTGCGATTCAACGGGGCTCCTATCAAGGGGTTTGAAGAAGATGTGGGGCAAAAGACAACCATTCGTCTTGTGAACTCCCAGGTAGGTCTGATGGATGCATGCCAATGTAGCAGAGCTGTGCACCTCCCCTGTGCTGCCTGGGAGCTGAGCAGCAGGCTGATAGAACGAAGTCCTCAGGGCTGCTGGGTTCATCTGCTGCTGGGAGGTCTTTAAAATGAGGTTGGGCAGAATAGGGCTTTCCATGTGTGCCTTTTGAATTATGTTCTTCCTTCTTGTTGCAAATGCTGTTGCTGCTCTTTTTGCTCATGTCTCGCTTTATCCCATTGCTGCTGTGCTGTGTTCTGCTGCTTGCTGCATCTAATTCCCGTGTGTTAAATCACCAGAATGATGTGTGTTCCTTTCAGAACCAAACTGGTTTTAGCAAACATATCTGGCTGCTGGTACCCTTCTTCCTCTGTCCCGTTCGACTTCTCACTTTTTTATCTTTCACTTCTGTGTGTGTTTTTATGATGTCAGATGGGTGTTACCACTTAAAGAAAACTTTCTCTGGAGGATGTGCTCACGGCCAAACTTATTGCTTTATGAAGTCATTTATCAGCAGAAACACGTCCTTGACTTGTGTGATACCAGGGTTATCTGCACAGGAATAGGGTAACCATGTGATTGTACAGCTCTAATACAGCAGCAATAACTCTCCATGTGGATGCTCATATTTTGGACCAAGTACACTTACAGCCATGTCGTATAGTGTTTTGGTTCTCCATGTAGCTCAGCCTGCAGGTGATGTTTTTATTCTGCCACCATCCCCTCTGAATGGAGATACCAGCTTAGAAAAGCTCAATTACGAAGAGAGCAAAACTGTTGCAGTTTTTACAGGCTAAAGTTAACTTAAAAATGCAGTGTTGATCGAGCTGCTGAATAGGGCAAAAGAGAACTCTCCGTGTGACTGGTGCAGGACTCTTGCGGAGTTTCAAAGCTGAACAGCTCTGAGTGCAGTCCCCGTTATCTTCAGGGATCACTGCTTTGGGAGCCTGGTTTTCTTCTGTGTTTTTGTTTGCACAGCTCAGTGCTGTTCTAGTCACAGTGACATGATTTTAACCTTCTTCTTAGTGGGGCTGCCTGATTGCATTTTGTTTTCAGCTTGCTGCAGGAGCTGTGCCTTGCCTTGCTGGTTGCTCTTGCAGGCATCAGGTCCTAGCTGGAAAAGCTGTAATTTGTTCTTTGTTCTGGCTGCTCTTATAAGTAGTCACTGTGAACAGGGATGGGATTATGGCTTGTCTCCTCTCATTGATCAATTCTCAGTTCATTTCCAAAGTGAAGGAAATGGGATCTCCTGAAGCTAATATGTCAAAACTGGTCGTATTGAGGAGTAGCCCTTGGCCAGTGACTCTAAGTTGCTCAGTAATTATTTTAAGATATTTTTCTGTAATTTTCTGACCAGTCTCTAGCACTTACCTGGGGGTTGCTGGTTTTAAGAGTGGAGCTGGGGTATCTTGTACATCTGTGTGTACAGTGAAAGATCAATAGATCAATACTGGCAGGACAGGGAGGGAATTTGGGATCCTCAGATCTGAGGATAGGCTCGTAGGTCCCCAACCCTGGTATTTATTTCTGAATAAAGAAATTCTTTTACATTGTCTTGCTTATTTTCTTAGGCCTTCGCTGGTTCATTGGTAATGCTTCCTTTAACGGCATGTTCTCCTGCAGTCTTACACAAGGCATTGATTTGCCCTGGGAAAGCAGTCACATCTTGTGAAAAATAAGGGCTGAAGAGCGTGCGGGGGGAGTGCTGCTGTTGTTCTGTAGCCCACAACTCCTTTCTGCAGAGCTGACCAAGAACGAGTACCTTGTTCCTCCCAGCACTTGTTTACAGTTCTCCTTGGCTGGCTTCTCACTGTCATGGAGAGCACTCTCTGCTTTGGCTGTGTTTGCTGTTATTGGCACTAATGAGTCTGCAGGGAGGAAGAGAAAGGAGATAGCACATTGGTGGAATGGAGTAAGATTGTGATGGGAAAGGGAAGAATGTTTAGATTACAGGGCATTTATTGCAGTAGCCAAAGGAACTCATTGTGATACAGTCAATAAATGCACCAGAAGGGTAGGAGCTGTATTAGCAAGATATTTGCTAAACAGTGAATTGGCCAAACAACAAATTAACTAGGAAATCAGTGGATCAGATAATTAAGATCAAAAAGCTGGGCAAGACGAATAAATCATGTAGCAATTTAAATGAATGTAACTACTTAGGAAGAATCAGTTATTATTAAAGAGAACAAATAGGCACTAAAGGTATCTAGGGAGCCAGATTCCTCCAGCAAACGAGTTAAGTGACTGATAGGTAACTTGCAGTGTCAAACGCCAGCTCTGTGGTGTGGGAAGGGAAACAGCAAATGCTTGGGGCTGTGGAGCCACTTGACATCTGGTTTCTTACCCCTTTACTTTTGTGCCTGTCACAGCTCTCTGGGGTTTGTGTAACTCTGCCAGCTCACATGGCTTTGCTTGGCTGATCTTTGCTTTCTCTTATGCTCAGTTTCTCTTGAATCCTCCCTTCATGTATTTCATGCCAGGAAGGTTCCTGAAAAATTTCTAGGCTTTAAAAGAAACAATTAAATGAAAATAAAGCTCCACCACACTCATTCCTGGGTAAGAGGTGGCTGGTGCCAGCTGCTAAGCCCTCTCCTTGCCTCTGCCTCTGGAGTCCACAGAACAGAGGCAGAATTTCACACCTGCAGTGTTGCACATGCCAGGTAGATATTCTGGATACCATAAGGAAATGCAAACAGGCTAAACATGTGGTCAAGGCCAAAGCCTAATCCTGCAGAGTTACACCAGATGTGAGGAAACCCTTTTCACTTTTGGAATAATTTCATGGAATCATAGAATCCCAGACTGGTTTGGGTTAGAAGAGACCTTAAAGCTCATCCAGTTCCAACTCCCTGTCGCGGGCAGGGACACCTTCCACTAGAGCAGGTTGCTGCAAGCCCCATCCAGCCTGACATTGAAGACTGCCAGGGATGGGGCAACCACCTCATGTGGAGACTTCTTTTGGTTCAAATAAATGTTCCTGGTAAAGCCAACAGTGTTTGCATTAGGCTCTTCCAGGACTGTCCTGGTGACTGGTGGCAGCAACTGCTTCTACTGGAAGCAGTTCCAGCAGACTGGTGGAAGCAACTATTCCCACCTGCTTCTGGTAGCTGTAGAGATGGTACCCATCATACAAGCTGAGTTACACTGTGGGTCCTGTCCTTCATTTATTATTGCAGATGGCTAGAGAAAGCCTTGTAAAGAGTAATGGCAGTTTTTCTTAGTGACTCTCCACTAAATCCTGTGCTGCTAGTAGTACTGGAGTTGGAGCTGGAAGGGCATCACTGGGCATCACTGCCTGCATGTGGTGGGGCATGCTCAGCAACCAGCAGTGGGATGGCTGTGGCTGTATTCAGGTATGTTCTACTGCTTGGCTGCCTGCTGATTCTGACAGCATACTGTATATCACTGTATTTGTTGTTATTCAAGCTTGTAACTGTCGAGGAGCAGCAGTTCCAGCGAGAAGCACTATATAACACTGGAATACTAATTGTCTGGGATCCAGCACCATATCATGCAGAAATTCATGAGGTAAGGCTGAGCTTTCTGTAAATAAAATCAGATTGATATACTTTGAAGTGCACCTGTTAACCCACTTCCTCATAACATGGACAATCACCCATTTTAAGGCCTTTCTTTCTTACCTTTACTTGATATGCGTATGTTTGTATGTAATTCTGAGAGTATCCCATCATGGGTGCTCCTAAGGAAACACTTGCCTGTCCCTCATCCCGGTGAGGGGCCTCAGGCCAAGTGTAATTGGTCACCACCTTTACTTTCCCATGGGCTGCAGCAGTTGTCATCTCATTAGAGGATGATCTCCTCTTCCTGACAGTTGGTATGAGATTTGTTGATGGCTGATGCTCGGATATTTCAAGCACCAGTCAGACATAAGATATATTTCATGCATTATGAATGGATTGGGAAACCCTCTGAAGATCTTGTCAAATGCCTCCTGTCTGTGTCAGCTAGACTTTCACTTGTGTTGCAATCCCTATATCATTCAATTTTCATTTTGAGTACAAAAGGGTGTTATTTGATAAGTGATGAGATTTGGAGGCTCAGGGTGAAAGCAGGTAGGAATGAATATCCCATTCTTTTATTTTAAGCTCTGTCTGTAACTGAGAGGTCTTTGCGTTCCTTTCTCTGGACTCTATTTCCTATTTTCTCACTGATGCTTATTCTTGTGTCTAGTCCCACACCTCCAGGAGACATGAGGGTGTATGTGCAGCATGCTTGAGAGTCAGTAAAACCAGGATGGGATATTTTTAGCATAGGGAAAACGATCTCAAGATGGCTTTATGAAAATATAAACCATCCCTAAGTGTTTTTACTGAAAGGGGAAGTTTTAGAATGCAAATCAGCTCAGTCTGGTTTAGGAGGTGGTGCTGGGGACACTTGCTGGCAAAATTGTCTGTTTTGTAGTCAGTGTGGGAAGGGGTTGGGGCCTGTAACATTTAGGACAGAGTTCTCAACACCATCTGCTACTAGGGGATGCAGAATGGAAGTATGCAAGATGCTGATCTCATGTAGTGGTCCTCCATTGAGATTTGGCACCTTTCCCTGCTCTGCTCACTGAGTTAAGTCACTGTGGTGACTTGAGGAGCAGATAAGGTGGTGTGGGACAGTGAGTGAGTGTGTGTGCCTATAGCAGGAAACTTGCCCCCTGGCAGCAGCAGGTTCTCTCATCCTTGTTTCCCATTAGCTGTGGAAAAGAGTGATCTAGAAAGAGAGTCTGACTTCCTGTTTCTGTTTTACAGTGGTACAAGAAACCAGACTACAACTTTTTTGACAGCTATAAATTGTATCGCAGCACACATCCAGAGCAGCCCTTTTATATCCTGAATCCAAAAATGCAGTGGCAACTCTGGGATATTCTGCAGGAGAATTCCCCGGAGCAAATCCAGCCTAATCCACCATCGTCAGGAATGCTTGGTAAGACAATTTCCCTCTAAACTTCTGCTTCAGTTTGCAGGCAGGAAGTCTCCAGGATGCCTTTATTTAAAGACAACTACAAATTTATGGTGCTTATCAGAGTTGCTTTTACAGTCTTTGCCTCATGCCAAAACTAAAGCTTCCTGTCTTTAAAGCAGCAGCTCAAGTTGTGTCAAAGTAAGCAGTTTTCAGCACCCCTCTGAAACAGCAGTTACAAACACGGCCTGGTTCCACATGGAAACAGGAGAGCAGATTGCAACATCGAGGTGGTCTCTAGGATTTCTGTCTTCTAGTGCCAGAGCAATTCCCTCAATTCCCACAGGGTGCAAGAGGAAGAATACAGCTTCTGCTTTTGTCAGACAACTAAATCTGGTTACTGCAGATGAAATCTGAGTGCTTGTCTGTTTATGCTTTCCATATATAAATATGGAAATATATATATATGGAAAAATATATATAGCTAAAGACTTGCTGGGGTGCTGGGGCTGGCCAGTCTGAATAGTTGTGCTGAAAAGTTTAGTGATATTCCTGCTTATTCAACATGCCAACATTTTGCTTGTCAGCATCCTAAATGCAGCCTCTCAGCAAAGGGGCTCATTTTACATTCTGCTGTTGCAAAGCTTTTCCTTCTTGCTGGAGAGCAAATGTTGTGACCAGCTGAAAAAAAAGGAGTGAACTTCTCAGGAAGCTCACATGCAATTTGAAATCACATAATCATAGAACCATAGAACAGTTTGGGTTGGAAGGGGTCTTAAAGCTCATCCAGTTCCAACCCCTGCCACAGGCAGGGGCACCTTCCCCTTGAGGGACCCCTTCCACTTGAGCAGGTTGCTCCGAGCCCCTGTGTCCAACCTGGCCTTGAACACTGCCAAGGATGGGGCAGCCACAGCTTCTCTGGGCACCCTGTGCCAGTGCCTCAGCACCCTCACAGGGAAGAACTTCTGCCTAATATCTAAACTCAGTCTCCTCTCTGTCAGTTAAAGCCATTCCCCCTTGTCCTGTCACTACAGGCCCTTGTCAAAAGCCCCTCTCCAGACTTTTGTCAGCCCCTTTAGGAATCAGAAGACTTTTAAAAGGTCTCCCCAAAGTCTTTTCTAGGCTGAACCAGCCTAGCTCTCTCAGCCTGTCTAGATAGATGTATGGTCTTGTTTGCCACATGGATGTCCAGCTGCTGTGCTTCAGCCCCTCTGCTCCCATCACTGCTGGAGCAAAGGCACATTTCTACCTCCGTGTAAACAGAATCACTTCTAATTTTTGCCAGTCAGCTGTCAGGTTTTCTCCCACAACCTTGCTGTTGCTCAGCACCTACTGCATCATTCCTGAATATTTGCAGACCAGCTGCACAGTAGCATAGTCAATGACTTCAGCTGCAAAATTGTTGTTAACTGGAGTTAGGCACCTGAAGGCAGGCACCAGGCCTTGCCAGACAGCAAATCCCTCTGTGGATTAAGTTTGGGCCAAGCTACCTCTTTAGCAAAACAACAGACAAGTTCCAGTTTTCAGCTCTGGGTTTCTTGGAAGGTCTAAGTGTGAATGGAAACTGTTATTTGAAAAGATGGATGAAAACATGTTTAAAATGCACCTTATTTAAACAAGTGGTTTCATGGAGGGATTCTTCCAGTGTCATGTAAACTGTGTTCCTCTGTTCACGCATGGTCCCTGGTATCTCAGATAACTGCATGAATTTTCTCTGTTATTACACATTGGTTCCATTTCCTTAGTATTTTCTTGCTATTTCTTGCAGTTGGAAGCACAATAAGCCAATAACTATAGCTTACTTCTGATCTGGCTAGAAAGTTGACAGAGCTGTGCCCAAACCTCATGTGAATGTCCTTAAGTGGTCCATGCGCCTGTCAGAAGAGAGGGGAGGGCAGCACTGCTCTGCTGCTGCTGGGGAGCTGGGGAGCCTGAAGCACAGAGGCTGCTTGCTCTCCACAACCCATCTCCAAGCACAGCCCTTTTCATATCCCCTGCATTCACAAGAGGCAGGTGGGGAAAAGGTGAAGGTCTCACTGCTGCTTATCCAAGCAGGTTTGAGATGGGCCGTTTGGATCAGCTAATTGGAGCACATAGTTGGCAGATACTCAAGTTTCCAGGAAGGTCATGGAGAACGGTAGCACTGTTTAAAACTGGCCTTTTGGCATGGCTGTGGCTGTTAACAGTCTGCTGCAATCAAGTCAATCATCTGCTTTGCAAGAGAGGGCTTCACAAAACAGCCCTGTGTGGCCAGGCTTGTTTTCTCCCCCTCCCCTCTGAACTGTCAGAAAGGAAAGCCTTCCCCTTGGAGCCAGATGGTCCTTGCTGACCTCCTGTCTCACTGGAACATGTAATCAGTTCCCTGATTTGACGTGGATTTGTCTGCTTTCTTTCCTCCCTAGGCATTGTGATCATGATGACACTGTGTGACAAAGTGGATGTGTACGAGTTTCTCCCTTCCAAACGGCAGACTGACATTTGCCACTATTACCAGAAGTTTCACGACCGTGCCTGTACCATGGGAGCTTACCACCCCCTCCTGTTTGAGAAAAACTTGGTGAAGCATATAAACCAGGGCACAGACGAGGACATCTATATCCATGGGAAAGCTACTTTGCCCGGCTTCCGGAATGTGCGTTGCTAGTGGATCAGTTTTTAGTGTTTAGGATTCTTTCTCTTGACTGTCAAAGCACTTTTTAAATCAGGGTTGTCAGAATCATTAGGTCTAAGCACTGGTGTGTTTTAACAGCTCTTCCATGTTGCAACACTTGCTCTTTGGACTGCGTTGCCTAACTGCTCCCAGCTGTAAAGCAGCATTAATACATTGTGGTACATCCACGTGGTGTCTGCATGAGCCACTGCAATAAATTTACTCCCAGTGGAGCCAGGCTCATGCAGCAGGTGGATATCTGCGTCTTCATGTCAACCCATGGTGTATGGGAGGCACAGGAGACACTTTCCAAGCAGAGATTGCACAAGTCAGGACCAAATGTTGGCTATAGTTTGGTTTACTTCAAAGGGTTTATGATAGCCAAAAACCTGGTCTATTGAGAAACAAGAAAAATAATGTAAACCTTGTTCCCGTAGTCCTAAGAGCTTTTTGAAGCAGAGCTGATAGATGGAAACACTGTCAAAGCTGTGTACTGAGAGGCTAAACTCCCAGTCCAAAATATTTGATTTTATGGTTTGTAAAATAGCTGTGGCAACTTCCTTTCAAACTGTAAGACTTCTGAAAGCAGTAGGAAAATATTTGGCAAAGGAAGAGGGAGGCAATTCACAATTTGGTGATTCTTGCAAGACTTTTAAATCTTTTTACTTTTTTTTTTTTAAAAAAAATTGCTTAAAATAAATTTCATTTAACATTAACTTCTCCAGTGCAGCGTTGTCCTTGGTACAGAAGAAGCCTTATTTCAGAAACCTTCTGGGCAGGATGCTCTGAGGTACCAATGGGAGAACTCACTGGAAGTCAGTTCCTCTTTCCAGCTCTTTGCTGGTCTGCCTTTGCAACTGTTGGCAAATTACTTGCTGGCTTGTCTCTGGTACCAGAAATACCACATAGCTGCTGCTAGATGAGATCCAGTGCGCTGCAAGCTAACCAAGGTGATCTCTAGGCTGCTGTGTTCTTTTCCGGAATAGGTGGGGAGCAGATGCATCGCTTCCATGCTTCATGAGCAGAGGGGAAGGAGAGCGTGCTCTGCTTCTCATGCTGAAACACATAGAATTGAGGAGGGTGCCTTTTTTCTGGTGCAAGGGGTTCTCCCATGGCAGCATGATGGAAGAAGTAGTAGCTCTGCAGTCTCTGTATGTTGGTGAGAATACCTTCCCTGTCCTCTTCCGTACTGATATGTTTCCTGATGTCTGTAAAGAAGGCTTTTCTTACGTTTTGAATAAATCCTGTCAAGTCGCTGGCCCATTCTTTCCTTGGTGAAACCAGTGTAAGTGGTGCTGCTCCATGGCCCCAGGGACTCTCACCAGCCTTGCACCAGTGCGGGCGGAGCTGGGAAGGAGCTGCTCACCTGCCTTTTTCAGTAAGCCCATGACTCTTGCCCTGTCTTGGTGAGAGGGCCACTGCAGAGCTGCTCTTCCAGCTCTCAGGCTGGCTTTCTGCATACCCATCTATTGGGATGGATTGGATCTGTCAGTGTTTACGAATTCAGGTCATTACACTACGGCACAGCAGCACTAGGAGAAGAATGGGGTGAAGCCCAGGAGCAGTTGTGTCTTATTAAACATTCATTTTACTGTTGGGGAAGGAGAGACCTTACAGAGGATGCAATGGATGGATGGTTCATTGCTGCAGAGGAGCAAGCACAGCACTGGGAAGCAAGCACCATCTGCCTGCTGTTCACCTGGGGATTCCCCAAACCACCTCTGCATTGCTGCTGCAAAACATTCAACAGGCTCCCCAGGGTCTTTCAGAGCCATCAGATACTTAGGGGCAATAGTGTTGCACTGGGCATGAAGTTTCAAACATTATACTAACAGTTTCAGCTGCATCCAACATGTGATTCATTTACAAGCTAAACAGAGTTTTAGAGGAATTATGACAGAGCTGAAAATAGGCCAGTGTTAACCCTCCTTATATATTTGTTTTCTCTTCTTGGCTGCATAGATCCAAATCTAATATAAATTCCAAGTGACGACAAGTCTGGTATTTAGAAGAGACAAGTTTGAGGACAGTAATAGCTAGAGTATAACAAAAGCCTTATCCCTCCTGCAGTCTCTTAACTGTTTCCAGGGCATGAACAGCTTTCTATCCATGTGGAAAATGGAAGAGAGTCATAGAATACCAGGTGAGGAGGGACCTCAAGGATCATTTGGTTCAACCTTTCTTGGCAAAAGCACAGTCTAGACTAGATGGCCCAGCACCCTATCCAGCTGAATCATAAAGGTGTCCAACGTTGGGGAATCCACGACTTCCAATTATTATTCCAATGACTGGTTGTTCTCATTGTGAAAATTTTCCTCTTGTGTCCAACTGGAATCTCTCCAGGAGTAACTTGTACCCATTATCCCTTGTCTTTTCCATGTGACTCCTTGTAAAAAGGGAGTCTCCATCATCTTTGTAGCCGTCCTTTAAATACTGGAACATGGTGATAAGGCCTCCCCTGAGCCTTCCTTTCTCTAGGCTGAACAAAACCAGCTCTCTCAGCCTTTCTTCACAAGGTTTCCCAATCTCTGATGATCTTTATGGTCCTTCTCTGGATCTTCTCCAGCCTGTCCACATCATTTTTGTGTAGTGGGAACCAAAACTGGGTAACAGTATTGCAAGGTGTGAATAGAGTGGGACAATGACTTCTTTAACTCTTCGGGTGATGCCCTTGTTGGTGCAACCCAGCATCCTGTTGCCTTTCTTTGCTGCAGTAGCACACTGTTCACTCATACTGAGCTTGTGTCCACCAGGACCCCCAGGTTCCTTCCCACTGAGCTGCTCCCTGGCTGGGTAGATCCCTGCCTGTGCTGCACCCTTGAGTTGTGTTTACCAAGAAGGCAACACTGCCCTTTCCAGTTAGGCACTGAAGGACTAACTACTGAGAAGGAAGTTCCATAATGATATGGGACGGGTGTGAGGGAAGGACAACAAGTCTGGGGAGGAGAATGGAGGGATTAGTTTAGTTTTTGTTGTAGGAAAGGTATCTCCTCTTGATTGTGTGTTATTTCTGCTTCTGAACATTGCTTAGAAATACTCTTCCTTCACGGTAGCTTCATAATTCTTCCCTGCAGTATAAACTAATCTATAGAACCCGCAGAAGCTACAGTCTTTGAAGTACTGAAAGGGAAGAGGAAAGGAAAAGGGAATGACAAGGAAATACTGGAAGGTGATGGGAACTCCAGCTTAATTTCAGAGACATCATCCCTGAATTGTGCTGACTTCAAGTTTAAACTTTGCATTGTTCAGTATTCCTCCTGTTCCTGCAGCTGTGCTGATTAATTGCAAAAGGTGTATTTTAGTATGACAGTGAATTGTCAAGAGATCTCATTTCTAAGCGTGGGCTCTAGGGAGCACATACCGGTCCTTGCTTGCCATTTTGAAAACCTAGCTGCTCCAGATTTTAAAAATAGCTTTAAAGTCCTAGAATTCCAAACCCAGAGACAGTGTCTAGAGAAAATATCAATCTTTGTTAAAACCTGTGATAATAAAATATTATACTTTGTTTAGACAAGGCAGTACAAACTGATTCGGCATGGTAAAGTATTAGGAAGTGAAAGGGTTTTTTTCCTCCACACTATAAATATACCCATCTTACAAAAGAGTCTAGTCTTGACTGTATTAACATGCAATATGGAGCAAAGATTGCTTTTGATCTGACACTCCTTCCTCTTTAGGTGTACTAGAGAGCCAGGTGCATGGGTGCAGAGAAGTTATCTGGTGAGACGAGAGCCCAGAGGAGGTTAAGTAAGTGCAGGAGTCAGGGGCTCATGGTTGGATGATGAAGTATTTGGACAATATAGAAGCAATGACGGTACGTTACTGGCAGAGGAACATTGGACTTCATTGTCTTTGAAAGAGAGCTTTCATTGTCTGGGCTGACAAAACTGCCTGTGGTTTTATGATAGAGGAAAGTCCATTGTATACACCTGAGTCAACGCACCCTTCCTCACCTCCCCAAGAAGAATGGAGTGGTTCGGTGGGAACTAGATTTGACAAGACACTAGTATATCAACAGTGGTGGCTAAAACACATGCTGGCACTCCCTGCAGAGGAACACTAGCTACCCCAGCCACATACTCTTTTTGTTCTCTGTGTATGCACTCAACTAAAGGTTGGGTACAGGCAAGACAGCTTATTCTTCTCTGTTGTGTACAAGTACATAACACGCTCTTGCCCAGCACTGCAGATCTTTGTTTTCACTTATGAGTTGTACCAGCCTGACAGGAAAGCATGTTCACCTGCTTCAGGTGATGATACAGGGCACACCGCAGAAGCACCAGGCTTCAACTTGGAGCAGATAGTTTGTGTGCATGATCATAGATATCTCAGATCCTAGCAAATGCTCCAGAAACAATATGCCTCAAGGATGGAAATGCCCTCATGTGTTTATAGGGGAAGGGGAAGTGGGGAAAAAGCTTGTGAAGGTGTACATATACCACCTGGTGTCCTGAGAAGGGAGCTACCTGCAGTATATTGAGCATGTCATCAGCTGGATCTAATGAGCTTAAATGATGGGAGCAAGCTGGGCTCTTGTTTGCTTTGTGCTTCACTCCAGGTCAGAAGGAGCTACAGATCACGCAGATGAAGGAAAAACAGGGTAAGTGGCCCTCTTTGTTCTCTAAGCAAATAGGTTCTCTCTCTGACCTGAACTCAAAGAGCTGCGTAGCAGCCTTGTCTTGTGAAAAGCATGGAAAATGGGTTAAGTGCACAAGATTGACTGGTCATCCTGTAACACAGTAAGGGAGATCTGGTGTCTCCTGGAGTTGGTAATGCACAGCTCATGTCATGCACAGCTTGTCTACGCTGCTACAGGGTTGCAAATGCAGCACCCTCACACACTGAAAAAGGAAGGAGCCCTCCTAGGGACCACCTTTCACACCATCTTTCATTCAAGTCCTGTGAAATGCCTTCCCTCTGTAGATAGGTGGTCCCTGTTGATACTTACCCTCCAGGATGTCATCTCTGACCTTGCAGCTTCATGTGTGATAAAA